AGATATAAGCTTGTGTTATTATGAATTTTTCCGATACGAAATTGCATTTTAAAAACTTTAATATATCAAAAAATGCATTCATTTATTTTTCTTGTATTTTTATCTCATTTTTATATTTTTTGTTGGTTTTCCTTTTGCAATTTACTAACAAAACTGTGAAATTATTTTTGAGTCAGCATTAGAACGACGACAGCAGAAATGGCCATTAAAATAATCATAAAAGAGTTTCCAGAAAATGGAACTTGAATTATGCCATATATGCTGCATACGTAATTGACGCAGCCAAAATGCTGCACTGCTGCTACAATCGAGTTGCTCCTGGTACGCTTCAAATGTGTTTCCAACAAATTAAGTTGAGAAATTGCACAGTTGCTGCGTTGAAAATTACCCAACAATTTTGCTGTGATTTCTAGCATGAAAAATGGTAACAGCAATGCTAGATCAAATGGAGATATAAACAATACACCCAGTACCGCTGCCCTGTCCGCTACCTCTACCATTGGACATGGCATTTTGAATGCTACTGAATGCTGTATATCTGCAATTTTATTTTCCTAGCAACATCCTGCACAGCTCAGAGAGCACATGCACATCCTTGCATATATGCATAAATCCTTTTGGCAAAACGTACTCATAATCGCCACCTAATCACGATAATCAGTCGAAACAACAGCAATAGAAATGAAAATGAAAATGGAAATGAAAATAACTTAAGTGGCCAGCAAAAGCAACAACAAAAATGGCGTGAAAGCAGGATTACCACTACAACTGCTGCTCCAGTGGTTGTGGCTGTCTATCTTCAAGTCTAAGTCCTTAAATGCGTTATTCAAAATTAAACTCATTGCGGTTAAATGACCAAAACCAAGTATGCGCCGTTTGGGTATGGCCAAATGCTGCCGAAATTAAACAGTTTTCCAATGGAGTTGCATTGTTGCTCCAGCGTTAGCATCATGTCTTATAGAATTGGAGCTGTTGTTGTTGTTTTTTCACTGAAGTTACAGCAATTGTTATCCTTTCCGTAAACGATGTCTTGATATACAAAAATTCACATTCGTCTGTTGCTATTAGGCACGTTTCACTCGGTAGTTCACGTCTGCATTTTTGTAATTGGAATTCAAAGTTGAATTAAAGCTGTTGAATTTGTGTATATGAAGAGGCATTTAGTTTCCTTGAAACATTATTTTGTATCCACTTTATGGATACAAAATGAATGTTAAGACTCCATATGTAGTTTTTGAAAAACACTCAAAAATAGATGACACTTAAGTCTCATATACAAAATTAAGAAAAAACATTTTTCCATCATATAAAAAGACATACCTCTTTCTATATAATGGTCAATTGGATTACCCAATATGTTTAGAGTATCTTATTGGCAAATAATAAAGAAAGTGAGTTCCACATTTTTTCTGAAGATATCATGAGTATGATGATAGGATCACTATATCAAAAGTATAAATATAACAAGTTAAATATGTAAACTAATATAAATTCTTTTTAATTATTATTATAACTCATTTATTATTTTGGGTAAGTAATTATTGTCCAAGCGAATGAACTTGCTTTGAATCTTCGTTCTTTCTGTCCAACACATGCGTAGCGCCTCCTTACCACTTTAAGGGTTTTTTTTTGTTGATCTTGGTGAACTGCGAGATCTCCCCTTGAATAGCATTAAAAGCTTTTCCAAAGGTTCTAAGTGGTTCTAATATCTGAGTTTAAATATGCAGTAGCATAATGGAGCTTTAGACCAAAATGGATCCCTTGGGATCACAGGTATAATCTACATACCTAATACTTGTTGAACACTTGGTTTCTTTTTTCTAATTAACATATATATAGTTTTTTTGAGTTCTAATTGTGGTATACATTATTACTTCATCTTATATTAAATTATAATGAAATACTTGAGGTAAATGGCGAAGCTTGCAATCTAAAAAAAAATTTTTTTAGAAGAAGAAAAGTGCAAAATACTACATTTAACAAATCATTTATTATTCGTAGTCTATAAAGGCCACATGTTCTTCAAATTATACGGTTTTACAACGAGAACTACATCTAGTACTGATTGCCAAATTAAGTACAACCTACTCTTATTAAATTGCATTTTATTAGAAATTTTTAAGGATCAAAGTAAACTGAGTTTATGCTCACAACCTGAGCTCAAAGCAATCAGTAAAAATGGCTTAATGAAAACCGGCAATGGCGAGTGTCAGAGAACTTAATTGCGTACAGTGTACAATTACCCGCAATTTAAAGCTCCTCAAGCCCCCGTTTCCTTCTATCCAACTCTTCGCTATCGTAATCGCAAAGCCGTCAGAAGAACTGCTGATTAAGTGAAATCAAATGGAAGCAAAATTAGCTGAAAACCAAAACTAAACGAAGCGCAGAATATGCTTTATGCTTTTTATTAGTAAGTAATTGTTGGTCTTTGCGTGTTGGAAGTCGGCGAGGAGGTTACTTCAGCGTTGATTATATGCAAATTAAAGGATAAAACAGAAACACGCTCAACAGTTAACAAGCAACAACGAACGGCAGCTGGAACCGTCTCAATAAGCGCAGTCACACTTCTCGGTTTGCCTTGCTCTACGACGCCTTGTACGTTTGGACTTATTACGCTTTTGCTTAGCGGAAATAATTTCCTTTCGTCCTTCGCACTGCAACAGTCGTAAATTGTGAGTTTTACGCCTTTGTGGTAAAACAATCAACATCAAAACGCTTTTATTATAACTGCACAGCTACAAATTAGTCAATTATGCCTTTGGGTTACAAGTTGCTTTGTGGTTTTGAGTTGCTATTATCGATGCATAACATACATTGGACAAATGCTAATTTAAAGCACTATTAATAGTTAACCTAAATGCTTTCAAAGCGCTTTTGTTAAGCACAAAAAATTGCCGCTTTCAGTATGTTATACAATGCTCTATGCAGTGCTAAGACTTATTATGGCCATCACTGTACTAGACCTCACATATTTTGATTGCATATAGTGAATATATAGTAAGGATTTTACTAATGAGGTGAGTTCACATACATATTATGAAAAAAAATTAACAGTTTAAATAGTTACGGACCAAAGAACTGCAATAATTATTCACTCCTCAAACATACTCGAATAGTTGGCTATATTTCATTTATATGCATACTGACTCTCTTTTTCGCATGTTCGACTCCACCTGATTCATACTCTTCTCATAAGATACTCATAAACACCGACACTCGACACAGAATAGATGCAAATGATTTATGAATCATTCATGAGTATTAACAGAGTCGAGTCGCGTAAGATTTGACTGGTGTTGTATACTGAGCATATAGTATTTCCTAATAAAACCACCCCTAACCCCTAATTTAAGACACATAAAATATTAAAGAAACAAGCAAAATACATACCGTTCATACAAAATATTTACGAATCCTGATCTAGTCATTTATTTTCGATGAGTACATTCATTGATTCACACCACTCGGGTATATGCTATTATTCATGAGTCCTTTGCCATTTATGCTACTCTACGTGTATCTATTCTTGTGAAGCTGATTCATTAACACCGGCATTCGAAACGAATGATTTATATGAATCATTTCTATGGCGAATATAAATGCATATAAGTAGTTTATAAGAAAAATATTTACACTCATTTATGTTTGATATTTTATGAGTGTACTCTGAGTGTTAAAATTATGACTCGTTGCAATTTTCTGTTGACATTTTGGTTTTATCGATGTTACATATTGTGTGTACAGTTGAGCTGTATTATCTTTAATTACCGATAAAATTTTATCTATCTTTCCCTTAACGTAAAATTGAATATTAAGAACTTGCAGAAGTCAAAGCTGCGGCGTCAACTATTTTTCTGCAATACATTCCACAGTCTTCTCTATTACCCAGTCCTAAATTCCCATTGTATTTAAATGCATCTGGGGCGCCCTCCTCTTTTTTACCCTGATAGATACCTCTATTAAAGTCTGCTCTTTCACGACACCAGTCCTTATTCTGCCAATATTCTTCCGTGACCCTAAATGCGACGCAAATGTCAGTGTCGTGAAGTTATGTGAGTTGGCGGGCCTTACTTTAAACTTGACAAATAGATGCAACATATATTACTAATATTTATTTCACTTTAAATTTAAATTGTGCGAAACGAATTTGTGTGAAACATAACCTCAATTTCATATTCAAGAGCACCACTTAAACGTTTCTGATTTGAGTTTGAGTGTGCAAACTCTCAATATTCTTGTCTACGCCCTTAACTCAAGTTATATCATAATGTTTAATGTGTATGATGTTTTGAGAAGGGACTTGGTGTTTCCGTAGTAAAATTTGACAAACCGAAATGACAATCTATATTAAGAAAATTATTTATTTATTCAATATTTACTTGTAAATGAATATATTACTATATATTATTAAAACATTTTAAAGCACAATTTATTTTAGTTCAATTACTGTGTTTCATATTTTTTTCAAAATATTACTATTCCATATCTTGATAATCCGATGAGTTGAAATATATAGACTTCTTTTCTTCCAAGAAGTGAAGAAAACTATGTATTTGTACCACCACTGCATCCGTTGATTCTTTATCCAATACCGTATATTCAAGCAGAGATCCTAATTTTGTAAAGAGGCGAAGTAAGTGAAACGAACCGTATATCTCAGATACTGGAACAGTGGGACTCTTCTGCGAAACTTTCTCAAATTGTGGTCGCTCACAATTATATAATAATTGTTCTGCAATTATTGTATTAAAGCAGTCCACTATATACTTTAATATTTCACTACTAGCGCGCTTTTTAACATTTTGTTTTAACTTATCATATTCATTTACCAAGCCCTGTACTGTCACCTTAGCCGGAATAGCAATCAATTTATGTTGCAGATTTATTGCAACCCAATCATCTGCAAGACACTGCTTTAGTTCATCAGGTATTATAATTTTAACCTTCACACCAGAGCGAATATATTCCTCAACACATGTAACAACTTTACTCTCTGTAACACTATCTTCTACAGTTTCAGGTATAGTGTTGGATAAAGCCGATTCAACATTTCTTTCTTTTTCCTCTTCTAAACCCTCTTCGTCACTCTGGTACCTCTTTTTCAATACCAACGTCATATAATTTTGTAACCGCGTCATATTTAAGATCATCTTTCTCAAATTCACTATTTACCAATCCACTTTCATTTTTAGCATTGCTACAACCGCGTGAAGTAGATGGTATGTCATCACCGAAAACATCACCATGTTCTTTTTTAGATGAAGCATTAATGTTACCAGATCTTTTCATTCCTTTTTGTTTCCCTGTTTATATTGGTTAAGATGTTGGTTAAGAAAGACGTTTCCTTTATATGATACTTACTCTTTTTCGTACCGCTTGTTAATGTTGCATAGTACTGCTCGCCTGCTTCTTTTTGCCGTTTAAGGTTGGCTTCATTGTATTTAAGAATACGATCTCCGTTGACCCATTCATCCCAACTGGAGTTCATTAACATATAAATGTTTGAAAATTTGAACGCAAATATACTCACTTCTTATTCCAATCGACGTAATGCACATAATATACATCTTGTCCAGCTCTATTTTTTGAACATTGCAAAACTTTCGCTTTGTATATCAAATTTCCGTGCTTGCACAAAACTGTTTCACCTAATTAATTATGTGATGTTTAAAAAATTTTTTTTTATAAATATATAGTCAACACTACCTTTATTGAACATGTTGGTAAAAATTCACTTTCTTTAACTTCAAAGTTACACAATACAAGATGTCGGTCTATCGACGTCTATCGGAATAATAACTTAAAAGCCATAAACCACAAGAAGTCAGTTTATCGACGCCTATCAAAATAATAACTGCAGGGTTGCATTTCAACGGTCTTGCAAAGCAAACACATTTCACACGTATTATGATTGTAATACCATTTTTATATATAAATCTTTAGCTATCGAACTTTGCTAAAGTAAATTTCTAAAAGCCAAACCTATTGTTATTGTTATGTTTTTATTTGTTAACGTTTTAAATCATTCTTATATATCCCTATTATATATTATATATCCTCTATTATATATTAAATGGAGCTTTATAAACAAATGCCACGTCAGGAATCAGAACCATATGTAATTTCGACATTTTTGTACCAAAAACACTTCGATAATAGGCTACTTTCAGTGAGGTATTAAGAGAAAATTTATTAAATGGAGCTAACTTACAATAAAAGTCGAACTTGGTTGTGTTTATTTTTGTATGAGAAAGTAAGCTTTAATAACTGGTTGTGAGTTCAAAGTTGACTACCTTCGTGATGTTAACATGGTACAATTAACCTATCATTATCTTACACATATATCGTAGAATAATATTTTTCCTATTTTGTAAAAATTATTATATTGTTCAAATATGTTCTACAGATAAATAAGTTCTTTGAATGACATTGTATAACAGTGTCTATGGCGTTGTATTCGCCATATATGTTAAGTCGGATTTAAGCCTCTACATCACCGTAATATGCACCATTTAAGAATTTAAAAATTCCAATATTCCGACTACGCAACATATGAAACAACCCTTCGGAAAGGGAAGCAGATGACTTGCATATTTATCCCTGTTCGAACAACGTAAAATGAACTTTATTCTTTATTCTTAGTTACCAATGGCCGTATGGTCATTGCCGTTCCAAAGTTACGAAATTTTATTTCCGGTAATTTCATATAATATCTAGTATCACAGGTCATTCTTCCATAGGTATGCTTTTTACTAGACTGGGTATTCCCAGTAGATATTTTTATAATGGTTGTCGTGATAGGTGTAAAGAGAATATTATTTATTCAAATATTTATTTTGCCACTGCCCAATTTTCATTTCATCTTTTAAGAATTAATGAAACTAAGTTGTGTTGAACAAATCAAACTTTGAGGTTTGTTACTTAAACCAAATAATTTATCAGAAGCTGCAAGATGTACCCATTGTGTCATGCAAAGGTTAAGCTTAAATGAGTCGGAATACTTGCTTGGTAGGGACTGCCCTTTTCTGACTTCCTAGTTTTCTTCCATTTTTTTAAACCTTATTTACCATAATTAAAAACTGTTTCTATGATGTTAATATAGGCTTTGGGTAAATTCTTCCAAACTACAAAATAATTTCAAAGATGAATCAAAGCATTGAAATAATTCTCGCTGTTATCGAATTAGAATATATTAAAAACAGATACGTCATTACTCTCAGTGCTACTAAAGTAAATTTAAAGTGTGTTCACACTGTCTCATTTATACACTGGGTCATTTATGTTAATGAATGAATGAGCTGATAGTACTTTTATATGAAATAAATAAACTTTACTTAATAATATATCACACAAAAAAATTAAATATGTATCTATCATATATTCAAGTAATAACAACAAAGATTTTATTACATACTTACTCTCTCAGTACGTTTGTTCATAGCTCAGCTGTTGTTTAGGTACATTTTACATGTAAAGTATATGACACATATTTCAAATTTTGGTAACTTCCCTTGTAGAAAATTTATTTTTAAAGGTTGCATTGATAATGAGCTCATTTATGTGAAAGCTCTTTGTATGACAAATCATCCTTATTAGTACTTCTAATGAACAAGGCCGTCTAAATGAGATAGTCTGAATGTGCTATTGCTCAATTATATGTTGCTAGCGAGTGTTTATTGGTCATTACAATCATAAACAATTACAACAGTATTTGAAGATTTATAACAACTATTCTTTGCTTATTTACTACAGTAGATCATTCAAAAATGTAACGAAGATTATTACCATAATGGCATCGATGCTTTATTGATGTCCTAAGCAGCTTTTGGGAGTATCCATGCCCGAAGAATCATAATGGCATCGATGCTTTATTGATGTCCTAAGCAGCTTTTGGAGGTATCGGTGCCTGTGTATACAATTAGTTGCATATATCTCTGTCGTACTACGCAGCAAGATCTTGATGTGAAACCGATTTATCAAACTTTATCACTATAGCGTTATATATTCCTGTATACCTATGTACAAATATCGGTAGAGGCAGTGTGTTATCATCTTCCTTATTAATAAGGAATAGTTTAGTTCGGTAAAAGATTTTTTTCGCTCGGAATTATAACTCTTATATTTAGTTTTGACCAGTAATAAAGAAATTATCCGGAAGATTAAATAAAAAGTCGCAAGTTGTATGTTTTAAATCAATTTTATGAACGAAATACTGATTTTATTCCTAAAAGTATGCAATATTTAGTGTAAACAAAAATGTACAGTGAAGGTAATAAATATTTTATAATAAGAAGCCAGAGCAAAAAACAATGCTGATTAAAACAGCACCAACCGCAGCTATGCTGTTGAAGCTTGACTATTTAAAAAACAAAAAAATAATATTAATTTCTATATTTATAACTTTTTTAATTAACACTAGAGGTATTTTCTATTTCTCTTCATTGGTATTTATAATTAACTTTAGATTATTTCATCAGTAATACGAGAATACTTCCATGCTGCGTTAGGAAATTCTTGCTGTTGTTATGAATATATTTCTAACAAATATTTAATAAAATAAAATACTGCATTTAATATAAAATATGATAAAATTGTATAAAAAAGAAGCTATATATGCAAGCAGGTATAAACCGAGTAGATTCTGACGCAATTCAAATAAAAAGTCGCATGCTATAGAAAAAATCACAACTTATTTATCGCAAGCTATAAATTACTTTTTGTGAAGAAAGACTTGAAACGGTAACGAACTCTTTGCATAACTTCATTAATTTCTGTTTGAATGCTATTTTCTCTGATAAAAGCAAATGAAGTTGCTACATTTTCTGTGTACAATTCCAAAGTGAGCTGTGAGAAATTACATCACGTTTAATATTGAAAAACGTTTCACACTTTATCTGAAAATAAGTTTCACCAAATGAAGCTCAACAAAGCAGAACAACAACAAGCTTCCTTTTATGTTGCGCTTGCTGAAGTTTGTTAACGCAAAGTCAATGTCAACACGAAACTAAAACGGAAACGGAAATTCTGGTTGGTGACAAAGAAATAGTAGAATCGCTGCTACTAGAAAAAATCGAGTGCCATACTAAGTAAATATGACAAATCCAAGAAATGTGCGCAGACCGCATAAAACTGCATAAGGGAAATGCACATTTTGGCACGCAATCGGGATAAATCTTGAGGAGTTGAAAATTATTGGCAGAAATAATGAAGTGCGGAGAAGAAATTGATAAAGAGAAGCATCATTCGGATTTGACACGTTTTACTTGATGTCAACAGTTGTTAACAAAAAACGCTAGCAAAAGTAAAATTTATTTATTCTCATTATTTAATAACAATTATATTATTTGCGATTATGAAACTATAATAAATATCTCTACTGTGCGTGTAGTTCAGTCAGTTTCTGCATCAAACTCCTCCAATAATATCCCTTCTACATCGTTTAGCGCCTCCTCCGCCAATCTCTCAAACTCAGCTGCTTTAGTAAAAAAGCTTGGATCCATTTGCGGTTGCGGTTTTGCTATTGCATTAAGTAGATCCTTTTGGTACAGTAAATTATTTGCCGTTATAAGGGAGCACAAAGTTGACTTGCAAATAAAAAACAATTTATTAATAAATTTTATACAAAATATAATTAATATTGAAATAATTAACAGGCACGTGACAAGGGGTGGCTTAAAAGGGTAAGCACCCACTAAAATGAATCGATGTACTATAATTACACATACTCACCTTCTTTATTGATGTATTATGACTATAAATAATAAGGAATTATTTACTTTTAAGTGGTCCTTAATTACCTGATCGAATTGCATCTTAGTAACATCACCGTTAGTGTTATCCATCTTGAATTTTATATTTTTTGTTCCAATGCTAATTGAAATATCCGAATTTTTAATTTAAATCATTTTAAATCCTTTTAATTCAATCTTGACATATAAATCTATTAAAATTCTTAAATATCAAACGATTTGCTCGTGTTGAAAGTATCTCAACGCTTGTATCTTTTAAAAGAAAAATTTATATCTGCATAAACTCAACTGCATATAAAAATTGCAACAAAACACATAATAAAATCTAGTACTGCATTTCTCGACGCTGTTTTCTGCACTTTTTACGCACCAACAATACCGAAAAGTATCCTTTTACAGTTCCTTGGAAATCCTTTTCACATATAGCAGCGTGAATGGAAATGTTGACTTTAGATACAAATCCTAACATGCAAACTGCAAATTTCATTACGTTTCAATACAATTTTGCATTTATATTTGTTTGTCATAGTGATGTTCTTCTTCTTCTTCTTTTTCTTTTTGTCGTTGTTGCTGTTTTTGTTGTTGTTGTTGTTTGTATCTTCAGTTGAATTTGTTAGTATTTTTATTGTCGTCTTAAGCTTAAGTGTGAGTGACAATCCGTACACAAACACATAAAAAACTAAATAAGTGATAAAGTGAAGGTGCGCTTTTATTGTGTAAACACGCAAAAGGCGAAGCTATTAGCATTATCCGCGGCAATGCTCACATTCAACGATATGGGCTTTACCAAGAGAGAGCCATGTAGTAGTAGCTATTTTTTTAATAAATATTATATAGATTTTGAGCGAAAACTAATTGATGCGTTTATATGCATGAACTTCTTCTACAGATTTGAATATTCTTTATAGGTAGACCAATGACTCGTTTCTGGTTACACCTCAGTTTTCTACTGTAATCACCCTTTTCTTATTGTCTGCCATTTTTTTCGTTTATTTTTAATTTTTTTTTTACGGTTTTGTTCTTCTTTTTCAATTTAGCAAAAAC